AGCGGGCTTTTGAAGGAGGCCCCGGCCGTCCCGGCTCCAACTTAGGTTACTGCTGCCAAAAACATCCACACCCCCCAAACTGCCCGTCTCTTCCAAGAGCACACTGGCAGCGCTGGCGGAGTGGGTGCAGGGTGCAGGCACCCTCTGACATCGGCGGGGACTCCGCTGAGACAGGACGGAAAAGTGTGGCGTTGGTTTGAGAAGGGAGATATGGGTGGGTGCGGACCAGTCGATTCAAAGAGCTCAACCGATCTCTCTTCTTAAAACAGCGATACAAAAAATAAGGTTCTGCTCTGCCGTTTTCTTGGTGTTTTCTGGCCAGGAGCAGGGATCCGTTCTCGGGAGTGGAGGATGTGCTCATCTATCGCTGCACCCTCTTTTCATGAAAGGCAGGTGTGATTATTTTGCATCCTGCCTGATTTCACTTCGCCTAGAAATTAAAAGTGGTGCAGGAAGTCGTGGCTAACAGTAGGATTGGCTAGCGCGTAAAATGGGCAGAAAAAAATGAAAAAAAAATCAAAGAGAGGGAGGAAATAAGATGAGGCACGTCTCCCTGCTCGTACCACTTGTCCTAGTGCAAGAACAGAGCTAATTCCTCCGCTGAAACCGGCGGATTCTGAGCTCAAGGCTTACAGGGGGAGGCTAAGGTGAAGGCTTTTTGCCTGCCCGAAGATATCTCTCTTATCTAGAAGGGAGCATATCTTGACTCTATCAATCTGGCCGTTCACCAAGTGCTGCTCGGCTCTGTTTTCCTCAGTGATGCAACTCTTGATAGCGAAGCTTTTTTTACCCTGTGTCACCAAAGCCCTCTCTGAAGCTAACCTTCACTAAGGCAGACCGCGGCAGAACTAGAAGACAGGTGTATCTAAATGTAGCGTCCGGCAAAGCGAGAGGAAGAAAGGGGACAGTCACCCTGCTCCACCAAAGCCACGGCCATCTTCCAGGGGTACAGCTTTGCTCGAGGGTTGAAAGCGTCTGGGGGATGCAACGAGAAGTAATTTCTTGGGAGCAGCAAAACTTTATAGTGACTTTGAAGAGAAAAAAAAGCCTGAGAAACTATGCTGCCGCGTCGGGAGGGTTGCAGCGACAGCCCGAGTAACCTAGAGTGGCTGCCAGCAGTGCTTCGTTAGTAAAACATTACCTCTTGAAATTCTGAAACGGCCTGAGTGATGTCAGGCCGATTACCTGAGGTGTGTTTCTGTGAGTAATTGTCTTAGAGGCTTCAAGGAACAGGTCTCTCTTTCACAAGCATATGGGTGGACCGCAGCCCTGCGGTGATGTATCCCCATAAACGCGCGCACCAATTGGCTACCACTAGCCCGTGCATGCAAGCACGTTTCCCATGGCTTGGGAAGGGCTCCTGTTAAACGCGGGCTTGCTCCAACACCCCATCGTTTAACAGACGTCCCTACCCTGAAGGCCTGCAGGAGCGCAGGGGACAGAGGTGGCAGCTCCGGCCGACTCTCTTCCTCCGTTCCCAACCTCCCCCACGCCTTCCCGGGGAAACAGCGAATTACCACGGCCCCGGAAAGCAGCCGCATTTGGGAAGGGATGGGAGAAAATTAAACGCAAACAGCACCTTTCGGGTCTCACCGGTCTCCAGGGATGGATCTATTCTCCCGTGAAAAATAAAATCCGGCTGCAGTGGAGATGAAGAGGGTAAAAGTGAGAAAGGGCCAGGCTAAATTCCCACACATGCCCTCCGGTGGGGAAGACGCCGGGTTGCTAACTAGTGAGGTGAGGCAAACAATAACAATGACTTTAAGGTCCAAGATTTTAGGGTAGGAGCAGGGCTTTTAAACTGTTAGGACAGGATTAAGTGGTAAAACAGGAATAAAATATCTCGGGGGAAAATGTATAGACATGTCAGGAAAGATGTTGAAATGTCGTGTCTTGCCATGCGGGCAATACGGGAATTAGCTTCCCAAAATGCACGATATTGATGTTGCTGCCACCGTAACTTCTAGTTTCTCAGAGGAAGGTGCGTGCTTCAGATGATCATCTGAAAGTTTTTAAAAACCACGCGCTTTCTGGGGAAGTTTGGCTTGGCCAAGAATTGTGGCTACTTTTTAGCTTTTTTACCTTTGATGATGCTTTTCACTTGACTGACCTTGATCAGGTATAAAAACTGTCAAATACAGATTACTTGAGAGTGGGTTTGAAATTAATCTTTTCCTTCGCCCCCTGAAAGAGATTATAAGCACACATTTAAAAGCTTTTTATCTTCCTCCACCCCTTCCTCTTCACCACTTCTATCTGCAGCAGCTGAGTTGGAGGCAGACAAACAAGCTTTTGACAAACCAGCACCCCGATGGCAGAAGTTGGGCGCAGGGGCACCGCCGGTCGGGTTCTGTCCCAGCGCTGCAGCAGCAGCAGCAGCAGACCCCGGGGAGTCCGACCCAACACAACAGTCTGGAAGGATGGGCTCAAAAAAAGCTCTTTCATACATAGCTTTACGTATAGTAAGGCTCTTTCAACCTGTTTGTTAATATAGGCCATAGAAGTCGGACTAATAATTTTTACGCTGGCACCTCTTATAGCATCTCTCTAATTGTGCTCCGAAGTGCTGATGCTGAGCAGCGTTTCTTCCAGCTCTAGCGGCAGCTTAGCAAGCAATCGTCCCTTTTTCTCGCTCAAATCTACAGCGAGAATAATAATACTCGCTATAATAACTCGCAGTACGTTTGGAGGATGGATAAGAATTGTTGCACTGTTCATTGATTCCTACTAATGAGCCGGTCTGAACCAACACTGGCGCGAAGTAGTCCGTCTGTAAGCGTACAGATGATGCTTTGGCTGGTTCTTTACGTGTTTTCTATGAGCCGCATCGTGGCGAGTAGCAAGAATTGACAGTAACGATTTGGAGAGGAGAGTGTAGGATTTTTTGCCTCTTGGTTTTGTGCTAGTCTTTGCGTAGCTTCTTACACATAATGACAGGAATGATAAAAAAATATGTCAAAGGACCTGTGTTTCCCGCTTGCTGCCTCGCGGGGCTAGCTCGAGGGCCATTTCTCCAGGGCGCTTGACTCGACTTGCCATGGGGACGAGGAAAGACCTCTTCCCGTTTTCCACCTCCCTGCGGTGCGGTCCCCTCGGTCGGCGTTCGCGCCTGCTGCTATAAGCCGGGCTGTGCGGGAGCGAGGGGTCAAGAAGGAGAATGGATAGGGCGGCTATGAAAGGGGTGGAGGGAAGCTGGAGTGGGAGAGGTGGGAGGAGGAAGCTTTCCTGCTCCGGCCACTGTTTCCTGCTCTATGGAGTGCGGATCTCGGTCTCAGCCCCCTGGCTCCACCTCACCCTGATAAGGAGATGTGAGTGAGAGGGGAGTCGGGAGCCGTTTCTTGCTCCTTTTCCATGAGACGCCAAGTCCCCAAGCGGCTGTCATGTGACAGCAAGAGAGCAGGAGCTGCGGGGGTCTCGCGGCTCGGGCACCATTACAAAACCGCGCCGGAGCGCACCAGCCCCGCCAGCAGCCGCGGCGGTCGCCGCCCCGCTCGCCTCCTCTCCCCGCCGACTCCCGGCGCTTGCCTCTGCCGCAAACTTTTGAGGGGACACCAGACTGAGCGGTGAGAGGGATGTTTTTATTTCCTTCTTTCCTGTCCCTGCAGACCTCCGGGGTAATTTCGTGCTCTCGAACCCTTGGTGCCTGAGGAGCATCAACTCCAGCCGAGTGAGCCAGGCGGCAGGGGGGAAGTCCGGGAGATTCAGCAGCCTCCAGGAGAAAAGCGGGACGCCAGTGGGGCCCCGGGACCTCCTTCTGGCACCCGAGCCCCCGCGGCCTGGGCGGCAGCTGTCTCTCCCGCAAGCTGAGGGGCAGCTAGGCGAGCGCGTCCCGCGGGGAGAGGCTGCTGAAGAAGCCGCGCACTGAGCTCGCTGCCCGGCCGCCGGGCGGTCGCTGTCGCGTGTGGCCCAGAAGCTGCCTTTGCAGCAGGGCAGGTGGCGCCCAGGATGTAGAGGCGGCGGCGGAGCAGGGCAGTGAAGTCCCCGGATCCCAAGCCCGCCGTGCGTGGTACTGAGCAGCGCCCAGCCCGGAGCGGCGGGATCGTGCGGCCGAGGGAGTGCTGTGGCGGGGAGGCGATGCCCAGGCCGGGGAAGAGTTCGTACAGCGACCAGAAACCGCCCTACTCTTACATCTCCCTGACGGCCATGGCCATCCAGCACTCGGCCGAGAAGATGCTGCCCCTGAGCGACATCTACAAGTTCATTATGGAGCGGTTCCCTTACTACCGGGAGCACACCCAGCGTTGGCAGAACTCCCTCCGCCACAACCTCTCTTTCAACGACTGCTTCATCAAGATCCCGCGGCGACCCGACCAGCCGGGCAAAGGCAGCTTCTGGGCGCTGCACCCGGACTGCGGGGACATGTTTGAGAACGGCAGCTTCCTCCGCCGCCGCAAGCGCTTCAAGGTGCTGCGCCCCGAGCATCACCTGCCCGGCGGCGGCGGAGGCGGGGCGGGCGGCGGCGGTCCCGGCAAGCCCGCAGCGCCCACCCCGCACATGGTGCACTACTTCCATCCGCACCCGCCACCGCCGCCGCCCCCGGGCAAGGTGCCGGGGCTGGCGGGCTCCGACGCGGCCGTGGCTGCGGCCGCCGCCGCCGCGGTGGGAAGGCTGCCGCAGTTCTCGCCCTACGGGAGCAGCCAGCCCTCGGGCTTCAAGCATCCCTTCGCCATCGAAAATATCATCGGCAGAGATTACAAGGGTGTGCTGCAGGCCGGCGGGCTTCCGCTGGCCTCGGTAATGCACCACCTGGGCTACCCGGTGCCCAGCCAGCTCAGCAGCGTGGTGAGCTCCGTGTGGCCGCACGTGGGGGTGATGGACTCCGTGGCCGGTGTGCCCGTGTCCCCCGACTACGGACCCTTCGGCATGCCCGTGAAGGCGCTCTGCCACCCGCCGGCACAGACCATGCCCGCCGTCCCGGTGCCCATCAAGCCGGCGCCGGCGCTGCCCGCTGCCTCGGCCATCCCTGCCCTCACGGTCGCCGCCTCGCAGATCTGCCCCGCCGCTTCCCCGGCTGCTGCATCGCTGCTGGAACAGACCGCGAGCAACAACCCCGAGGGCAAGAGCTCCCTCCACTCCGTCCTGGTGCACTCCTAAAGCGCAGGGGCTCGGGGGTAGAGAGGCCCCCAAGCTCCCGGGGGAGTGGACGGGGGGATCCGGGGCATGCTTGCAGAAACCCGATCGATCTCATGACCATACCCCTGCTGGTGTCTGTGTTTATAACGTGTACTATCAGATTATTTGAGAGCCAGGTCGCAGGTAAGATCTTTTATCGTCGTTAAATTTCATTAGTAGCGGAGAGGGGATGTGAAAAACCACAGCCGGGGCCGAAGGGGCTGGCTCGGAGAAAAGGGCAGAGAACGAAGTTCTCCCACCGCCCCTCCAGCCCGAGGCACGGGGTGCCGTGCAGCCTGCGCTCCCCGCCGAGCCCCTGTCCCGGGGCAGGCACCCCGGAGGCCCCGCGAAACCCGAGCTCCGAGAGCAGAGATGCTGCAGTCGGCCGGCGAATAGGGAGAGCAGAAGGATAAAATCCCTGCGGAAGTCTGCTTCTCCCTCTTCCACGAGAGACAGGAATCCGCTGCTTCACCGTCCTGTAGATCTTGCTGTGAGAGGGGTAGGCAAAGTGGTTACCTCAGACCCTGGCGAGCTCCGGGGCCCCACGACATGTAATGCTTGCTGCTTAAAGAGTAAACGTTAAATATTTCGATTAAGTAGTGGGAATTTAAATTACAACGGCATTGACGGCGAAGGGTTCCTTTAACTAACGATCGCTTGCGCTTCCCCTTCACACTTTTATAACCCATCCTATAGTACCTTAGAAGGGACTGAAGCATGATCTGGCCTCTCAAACTCTGTGTGAGTGTCCGAATTCCCTGGTTTCTCATTAAAATAAAAACAGCCCAGCGATTCGTAGATTGTGCTTTTCACATCACCTTTCACTGCTCACAGACACCACTATTTTGTACGTGTTTGCTTGGCGTTTCTTCCACGTGAACGTGATCGCAAAAACCTGCGGGGAAAGGGAGGAAGATGGAGAGTGAAAGAGGTTGGGGAAAGTGGGGGAACACAACAGGAAAATGGTTAAAAAGTTATTCGGGAAAAGCACTTTACTGAAAAGAACCTTCCAATAGACGAGAAGTCTGGGCAGAGGGATCAGAAGTCAGAGATCACAAGTCAGAGATTTACGTGCTGGGCTGATTAATTCTGGCTGGTTTGTGAGTGATTGCCGCCGTACCCTGTCTGCCCAATGCTCATTAAAGCCAATCCATCTATTTGCTTCTGCTGGTGCTGCTATTTAAAAACTCGCCTTTCACTTTGGTTAAGAAACGTGTGCTTGTAGTGTAAGTTTTCGCTCCCTCTCCCCAAACTGATAAAAGTATCCAAAAGTTTTTTCGGCGGCAAGACAAGGGGAAGAAAAGGAAAGAAATCTCTTACAGGTAAATTTCCTGCTATAGAGGCACGGCGGTCTGCCCGCAGCTCACGGGCGAAGAGCAGGCGTTCGAGCGTGACAAGAGGGAACCGGCTCGGAACCCGATCCCACTTCAGGCAGTTGAGGTTTTGCCAGTTTCAACTTGTGCTGGATCGCACCTGCTTCCTTGGTTTTATCCCCTCACACCGGCGCGCCAACAGTGGCCCGAGACGCCAGGTCGCAGACCCTGCCCCTGGGGAAGGATATCCTGTGACAGGCTGACCCTTCTTGGTGCCACAGAAATTTGCTAGGAAAAGAAAACCTCTTTGGCCCTGAGCGCCGTCTGTCCAAAATATTCCCCCCACACACTAGTGGGGTCTGTTTGACTACTTGAAATTCCCCTGGAACTATTAATTTTTCAGTTGTTCCCTCTGTTCTAGGCGTGTTTGCACCTTAATTTCAAACATTTTAGAATTCCTAGCGCCTAAAAATTACTACTAATAATGTTATGTTAATGAAACACATCGGTATGATGGTTTGTGAATTGGTCTAGAAGGGGAATTGACTCAAAAGCACTGCAACAAGATAAACAGAAAAAAGAAAAAGAAAAGAAAAAAGGAAAAGAAAAGAAAAGAAAAGAAAAGAAAAGAAAAGAAAAGAAAAGAAAAGAAAAGAAAAGAAAAGAAAAGAAAAGAAAAGAAAAGAAAAGAANAAAAGAAAAGAAAAGAAAAGAAAAGAAAAGAAAAGAAAAGAAAAGAAAAGAAAAGAAAAGAAAAGAAAAGAAAAGAAAAGAAAAGAAAAGAAAAGAAAAAAGAGTGCTTCACATTTTCTTTACTCTGCTGTTTTCCATCTTTGGCAGAGATCCAATTCAATACTCCCACTGCTAAAACCAAGTTGCTTAAAAAAAGCAATTTGCCAAATAAATAATGAATAGCACTAGCTGTATAATAGTTTCATATGTATTTAAATATATTCCACTACTCTTGATGTAACTACTGTGTAGGACTCCAAAGCACACCTTAAAGAACCTTAAGAGTTTTCCACTAACATCGGTAAAAGGGGTTAGAGGGATGGAGAATTTTTCAAACTATTTTGGTCAATTTTAAGATTCTGAATGATCTTCTAAATTTCATTGTGGGAAAACTCTTACTGGAGTGAGGAGGCCTGTCTGGGTGCCGCGGCGAGGGGTAAGCAGGAGGCTCCCGCCGCCTTTCGCACCCGGCAGTCGGGTCAGGTGCATGGGAAACCGAGACAAGGGGCTATCAGCACAGGGGAAGATCTCTGATCGGAGGTGAGACGGCCTGAGGGCCAGGCGCTCTCCCATCGCCCGGAGGGACACGCCGGGACGGTGGGGTACACGAGGATTTGTGGGGTGCCCAGCGAGTTGCGGGGTGCAGAGCAATCTGCACACACGGGCTCTGCATACAGCAACTTTTGCCCACCACAGGGGCTCTGGGGAGCGGGGAGTTTCGGCCAAGGGTGAATCGCCCAGACAGCTTAGTGTGACTCCCAGTACAGTGGCCTGCTTACACTTGTTGTGAACTAAAAATGGGGATATTTTCTGTAGCTTGTACAGTGAAAATTTTAGGGAGTTAGAACCAGATAATTACAGATTATCGGGGGGGGGGAGGGAAAATTAACTATTCAAGTAATATTTTCTAACTCATTTATACATCTGGTTTTCCTTATTCTTAAGTACTCCATCTCTAAGCATAGCCTTTGCAAAGTTACACAAATTTGTATCAACAACCAATAATCCCAATACATAAATAAACTCAATTCCAATGCTGCTTAAAACCAGATCATAGTACAAAAATCAGAGAAATGAAACAGCACCTTTTCGTCCGAGCTGAAAAGCAGGTCTAAACTGGTGTAGGGTAAGATTTTTCACTTGACAAATAGAGAAAAAGCCTTGTTTGACTAGATTTTGTCTGTCTGCTGTACCAGTACACCTCATGCAGAAACAGCTTGTCTTCAGATTGAAGTGCACATGTTCTGCACAGAAAGGCAGTCTAGTCTTTACTAAGTGGGTGCAGGTGGGGTGTTTGTAAGCAGGAGAAGGAGATGCAAGGAGGACATGCAAGCTTAATCTTCATATCATAAGACTGCCAAAGGTCGAAAAGTAAAATTTATTACTAGAAGAATGGAGGCCTAAGAAAAGGCATTAGTTGCACTCCCATATGCTTATGGTTTACTGTGGCTAGCTAATATGGGATTGTTATTTCTAGCCATGGGAAACGATTCCCAACCAAGGTGTTGCTTTGTGTATTTTAAGTTCATAGGGCATGCAAATCAAGAAAGAAAGGCAAATACAGTAAGACTCTTAGAATTAATGTGGCTTATGGTCTAAACATGCTAGCAGTGTTTCAGTGGATATGTTCTGATCTCAGTGATACCAGTTACACTTTGACAACCAGAGTTATAACTGAAATTCTGGACTCCATTGATCCAATTCTGAAGTCTCAGCCAGACAAAAATTGATACAGAAAATTTGCCTGGAACTTTGTTGCTGCTGCTTGTGATAACAGATTTTTCTCTTTATTGTAGGACTTTATTTTAAGTCATTATCCTTCAAGTCTCTTTTAAGATAGAGCCTTCCCTGTAAGTGCTGGAAATATGTAATAGTTTCAGTTTTGAAAACTATTCTGGACATTATGTATTTATGTAACTCTCTATTTAAAGAATCAGTGATCCTACCTCTTTGCTTATACAACATGGTCATTGGCATAGCCTGTGAAGAAAAGCCTAATAGTTACAGCACTCTTCTCAGATACCTGAAAGGAAACAAGCTCAAGACTATTTCAACTCAAAAGGATTCAGATTCACATCTTTGTATCAAAAAAAAGGTCAGCTGCAAAACGGTACATAGAGGAAGTTATGTTATACAGCAACAATAAATGTAAGGCTCATGAAGCGCCAGATGAGATACAGGGCCTGGGTGCGTCTCTACAAAGGCAGAGTCCAAGTGCCACTGGAGAAAACAGATTATGGACAGAAAGACGGAAGTAAGGATAGGAATAAAAGGCAAATTTTCAAATCAGAGTGCCAAAGGCAAAGGTGTCAGGTGTCCCAGGAATTCATAATTGTGGTATGCAAAAGGTGAGCTACAGTAAGGAAAGTGAAAAATGTTTGCTAATATTAGGTCATTTAGACTAACAAAAAAGAGTGGTCAAGAAATTGAGAGTTGCTGACAAACATTCACACTGGGTTACAGAATAATAAAATGGAAAGTGAAATTCATTATTGATATATTCAAACTGCTATGCATGGAGAAAACAATTCTGTTTTATATACATAACAATAGGTCCTAAAGTTTGGATTTTTATGAAGCTATGGTAGATAGCACTAAGAAATGTTGGTTTATTAGTAATTAGCTGTGAAAACAGAAAAAATATCGGCAAAAGAACAGAGAACATAAGAGAAAATATCATGTCCCTCTTTAAATCTAAATGAAACTGGAATGCACCAGGGACACCTGCGAGTTCCTCACCCCTGAAATATACCTGAGATACCTTAAAACTGTCAGGAAATAGAACAAATTGGAGGCAATGATCAAAGGTACCTCTTCTGCACATGTAGCAATCCAATAGACAAAGACTTTTCAGCACGGCAAGCAACGATATACAGAGAGATATGACACAAATTTACAAAATTTGTGAGAGACCTGGAGAAGGCTCATTCTTTCTCTTCATACCAGAACTCTGAATCTTCAGGAGGGCTCAAAGCAAACATGAAGATAGGATACTTCACACAGCACATAACTGAATTAATTGTTGCAGGATGTT